TGTGGATCCTTTAGTTCTGTGACATTTCAGCTTTACAGCTGTGACCAGGGAAAGAGTATGAAAAAATTTGCATATAAGGACTTTACTCTGGTCAGGGGAGTAAATACTCAATGGAACGATATTGCCGCGTGGTCTAATAGAGAATCTGAAAATTGAATAAAATGGAATCCTACTTCTTTATGATGATAGATAAATTGGTGATTATTAAATTTGATATGGTTTAGTTTTTAGTAAATGGTGACATAATGTGGTACTACTGGTGTGAAGAATGATTTTTTTGAATATTTACTCTTGTTCAAGTGGTTTGTTTTGAATCCATATGATTTATTAATAAAACAATGGCAAAGAAGGATGGGAAAGAAGGAGAGGGAGAGAGACAACTCTAAAGGGTACCTCAAATAGTAATAAAGACGAATTGTAAATTCAAAAATTCTGAATTTGAATTTTGACAACTTATTCGGATTAGATCACGAGAGAATTATCTTTTATGAATATTTTAGTTCCGACATGAATGACCTGCCTAAGATCGAATTGACGAGAGAATTAATCGAAGTGCATATAAATTGAGTCAAATACTCTTAATCGTTAAACTAAAAGAGAGAGAGCGAGACACCAAATTGATGAATACATTTTTTTATTTTGTTTTTAAAAATTAGACGCAGATGATGAGTTTTTTGAAATTTGTTGTAAGTGGGTGGGTGTTTCGACTCTACATGATGGAAAATCTAATAGTGAAGAAAAAATTGATTAATAATGTGTCACTGTGACTCTCAATCTCAAACCCCCTCATCACATTATCCTACAATTATTGCTATGGGGACTCCCTGACTTCATGATCATTTGGTCTTGGGAGTATAGAGCTGTTTCCCGCTCTCTCTCTCTCATGAATCATGATGCATTTACAACGATCTACATTGCTCTCTACCAACCTTAAAGCAGAGTTACAAAAGTATGACCAAATACAATCTTCCACAAAATCAAAAGATTTTGTGTCCCATATTCAAATTCCTTAACTTTTAGCTTTTAACCTTTTCTGGGCTGTGAAGTGCTCCATTAAAACATCTCCCAATGCTCCCTCCTCTCTCTCTCTCTGTTTTTTGTAGGAGGGTTTTCGAGACATATGTGATATAAATTCAATCCACATTAGAAAAAGTATAATGTAAGATAGCACTGTCTCAAGGTATTGATACAAACATAAGGGACATGTGGGACAAAAGAAGAATGACAAATGGCTCAAGATTAATAGGTGGGGGAGGAATACACCTTACCAGCTGGCACGAATGCAATACCTAAATCCATTGGCAATTTGTGCATAACAAATGAAAAGGCTACAACTACAAAACCCAAAATTTTTTGGCACTCTGTTATTTTGTGTCATGTACATCGAGGGAGTAGTGTTGCATAAATTTGATCTTTTTCAGATTCTGCAGTGACCGGAAATCTTGTACATTCAGTCATTCTTTTTACCCATTCTCCAGTAAAAGAAGATAGTCGTCAGATGACTTGTAGGTACCTAATTGCAGCCATACACCAAGTGCGTAGCGATATCTTCACTCATAAACACTTTGTTTATGATAAGATTCGAGCTTCAGACCTCTCATTTTTTTAATTAGATATTGTTAATCCAAACTAACTTTGATGGTTATAAATCTCTAGAATTATAGGGTAAAGTTGCCCGACTTTCACGGAAGTACTATAACTCAGAAAGATCACGGAGTTAGTCTAATCTGACAATTATGGATTAACAGAAACACTAATAAAGCTAAGTTCCGTAATCTTAAACAGTAGATCAGCTAAAAGTGGGAAGAAAGCTTTTGGGATTGCACTTATACATGGCGTCAAAAAAAAAAAAAAACTCACTTGTATCATTACCGGCATTGCTTACCCCGTCATTTTTTTTAACAAGGGCGTCTAAGTTAGTTTATGCGCATTTCGATTAATGTTTTTGTGGTCTAATCAAAAGTAAGACATCTACGTCGAAACTAGGATATTCACAAGGGATAAACTCTTAGGACTTGGTTCTAAGGAATTGTCAAGATTCGAATTTAGAACGTCTGAATTTACAACTCATTCTTGTTATCACTTGAGTTACCTTTGGGTTACCCATTATTGATTTTGTCTTGATTTGCTTGCTAACCGTTAATCTTGCAGCTATTAAATTAAATAAAAAGCCCTTAATTCTGGCCAAAAAGTTTAGACATTCTAAGAGCAATTTAGGGGAAGTTGTTTTCTCGTCACGCATTAAGAGAGACAGAGAGAGTGTGAGTGTAAAGGTGAGGGCAAGTGGGTCTGCCAACGAGGTCAAACCCCTCTCCCCACAAAATCAAATCAAGTCTCCAACACAAAGACACCAAGCCTTGAAACCCCACTGCCCGACAATCTGTTCCTCCCTTCATATGAAAACAAATTCTCTCTCTCTCTCTCCTCTCTCTCTCTCTCTCTATCTCTCTCTCCACATACGAAACTAAGCATGCAGAAAGTCATGGATTTGGCATATCCACCAACATTTGACATTCCAGCTACGGGTCTGAAACGATTAATTGACTTTAGTGAACAAATTTCTTTAATTTATGAGAATATCAATGCGTCCATATAAAGTATGCTCCAAAAAGGAGAGAGAGAGACAGAAATAAGAAGGGAAGGCATGACAACATGAATAGAGAAACAGTACAGATATTCATTACTCTCTCTCTTTCTCTCTCTCACTTTTTTTTCCTCTGTAAAATGCCAGCCGCTCTGCATGCAACCACCAACTCTTCGTTTCATCTTCTCATGTTTATTATACTGATAGTGGTTGGAAACTTGGAAACGCAGAGACACAAGCAATAGCACTTATAGAGTATAGAATCTACTAAGTGAAGAGAGAGAGAGAGAGAGAGAGAGTTCAACGGGGCCTGCCGACAACATCCACAAACACCCTGCTGAGAGATGGCAATCTCATTTGCTGTTCTTGAACTCTTCTCTTCTTGAACAGCGGCTGAGGTGATGAACAAACTGGTGATCCCACAGCCCACGAATCATTTGAGCTATCAGAGCTGAAAGATACATCAAATACACCACTTGGGGTACCTGGAATTTCTTGATGCTTGCGCTTGTGAGGGTTTTTTTGGTCATAGAAACAAGTGTTTGACAGCCCTAGAATGAGTTTATAGCAATCATCTACTTTCTCCTGTAAAATAAATCAAAGTATTAAGGTCTTATTACAATAAATAATGATTAGACGTGTTAAAATACGGCAGACCCATTAATATGACATAAGGGTTTAAGTTTTTTTTTTAAGCCACTCATCTCGTCGTAAGCGAGTAGATCCGATACGATATAATTAATAAATAAATTTGATATAGATAAAATTAATGAAAAAAAATACACGACATAATTTATTTGTATAATAGTTATATATGATTCAAACACGATACGACACAAACTCGATATGACATGATTAATAAATGAATTGAATATGAGTAAAATATTTTTTAACACGGACCCATTAAGACTCAATGTGAACGTGTTTCGCCGACACAATTAACAAGCCTATTAATGGCGACATTCAAACTTTAACCTAATAATATCAACAGAGGGATAGGGCTATAATCCTGAATTTATTTTTACAAACAAATAAGAATTATTATAACTAAGTCATCACTCAATGGAGTTAAGTTACAACTTAAAAAATAGTTAAAATTGATTTCAAACAATTCAATTTATAGTAACTTTATCGGATTGAATTGTAATCTCATTTTTTTTATTAATAACGTTTGATTCAATATAAAAAAATAACTACTCGATACCCTAGTCCTACATGTCAGGATGAAGTAAAAGAAGGGTGTCATAGCACATTAAAAAAAAAAAGTTACAATTTACAAACCTTGCTGATTTTCAGAACACCAAGAAGCTGATTTTGGTAGTCAATTGCATCACGAGGCTCAACTTTATGAATAACGTGAAGCATTGTTGCAGTTGCCAAGACAGAAGGTAGATAACGTACGAATCTCCAATCTAAACAACCATATAATCATGAACAAAAAGTATGTAAAATGATGAAATCTAAAATGGGTTTTTGCTACTTTTTTCATTTGTTCTTATCAAAAAGATCTAATCAGTGGTCAATGAGATTTGAAAGCTTACCGGCCATGAGAAAGAGAAGAAGACTCTCACACCGCCTGAGGAATTCCCAATGGAGATGGATCTTCAATCCAAGCCTTCTTGTGATGTGATCAAGAAACGAAAGTGGGGTCACTGGGTTCATCCTCCATTGAAGAGTGGAGAGGACCAGAAGCTCCATTTGTTGTATTGTTTTGGGCTCAAACGCATACTCTGTTGTTCCCTCTACCTAATCAAGATGAACGAAAAATTAGGCAGCATTCAAAATTCACATATATACTAGTAATGACATTTTATGCAAGCGAAAGAATAATGTAACAAATGATTATTTTTCGGTATTGTCCTGAAAGTTATCGTGTGATAAACTAAGTTTTAGCAACTTAATCTGTTGAAATTACAATAAAATAACCCGTTTAAGAGTGACTCTTCCGGTTATTGTTGATCGTAACATTTTTTTTGGTGAAAATTTAATGTTTAAATGTTAGAACTTGACTCGAATTGAATATTAACCTTATTGAATTGTAATCTCACCAAACTTTTTAATACAAAAAAGAAAATGGTACGGTAGTCTTTTCCTTTAACAAGACACTTGTGAATACTTACTTGAAGATCTAGGAGGTGGGGCACTTGGGTTTCTTCAACCTTAGCAGCCAAAGAAAGACAAGTCACGGCTGAAAGTTGAATCATCCATGGCTTATCCTTCTGAAAATGAAGGCTAAAGAGAAACCTATCAATGTAATTGATTGCAAGTATGGCTGTCAAAGTTGAGAATCCATAGTGAGCATCGACTTTTAGAATCCACTCCACAGCCTCTTTCCTAGCCAAGAGAAGAGAAGAATCTGTCTCAACATTGTCAAACCAACCGAGATGGGTTTGCTCTTCTTTAGAGAAGAGAGAGAGAAGCTCTTCATCTTCCCAAAACAGATCTTGCTCTAATAAGAGAGAAGAATTCCTTCCATTATTGTTGTTCTTGTTCATGTTGCTTTCTCTCTCTAAAGCCTCTTGTCCTTCCTCCTCCTTCTCCTCCTCCTCCTCCTCCCCCTCCCATTGTTCTTCCTCACAGTAAAGAGCATCTAACAAGAATGATTTTGTTTGTTGTTGTGTCTGTTGATGATGATCAGTTTGTTTTATTGCCATCTTCTTCTGAGAAGAAGTGGTCTTTGTCCACTACTCACTATACAAAAGAGAGAAGAAGAAAAGGGATCCAAATTCTCACACCCATCTCTCTCTCTCTCTGAGCAGAGAGACCCAGACTCAGTTCTTAAAAACAGAGAGTAAAGGAAGAAATTTAATCAGTGTTGGTGGTCACGCTTGTCCTTTCTTGGAGACTAGAGAGTGATTTTTGGGTTTGTTTGGAGTTGGAGGGCTTTCTTTTTCTTTTTCCTTTTCAATGAAACAATTTTTATGCTCTCGGGTGGTGTGTGCGTGTGTGTTTTTTTTTCTTTTTCAGTAAGTGTGTGTGTGTTTCTCGTTGGCGCGCAGCGGCACATATACCAAGTCCGACCCCATGAAAAATGCCTGTGATAGACAGAAGAAGGAAAATGATATTTAGATTTAGGATAAAATACATTTTTAATCCTTAAAATATGTGTTTAGTGTCTATTTGATCTTTAAAAATTTTAATTTGTATCTAAGTGGTCAAATCCTAAACGTCCATAAAAAAAATCGTAACAGTCCTGGACACTCGTCAATCAAATGGTTTCTAATTTTATGTTTATTTGGTCCCTAAAATTTTTAATTTGTGTTTATTTAGTCTCTAAAATTTTTAATTTGTCTATTTGATCTCATGTGAATGGAGCGTTCAAAAGAATTAATGATTTTTTTATGGACATTTGGGATTGAACCACATAGATACAATTATACAATCTCAAATGTCCATAAAAAAATCATTAAGGATTAAATAGACACAATTCAAAGATCGGAGACCAAATAGACACTACACACATACTTTGGGGACTAAAAGTGTGTTTAACCATTAGATTTAATTTAAAATTTTTGGTTTTGTCTTCTTTTTAATAATTCAGAAATTCCACATTCAATTCTTTTATACACACGCCTAAAGACTAGTTACTCTTGTTTTTTTAAGGACAATGTTCTAACATTGCCCAACTCATTGTGGCCTGCTATTGAAGTCGAGATAGTAGTCAGCGCAAATCTAATCATCTTGTAGCAAACGAATTCTATTTAATATTAAAATTCATAATTAATTTAATGAGTGAATTGAAAATCAGGTTCCAAAATTAAAATTTTATTATGAACAATACTATAAAGATCTAATTTAAGAATTTAATTCAATTCCATCATTGGACAGATTCAGACCACACCCATCCTTGTGTCATGGACCTTTTTTGGGTTGGCAAGAATTCGTCCATTACATAAACGAGACTTGATAAGTTCAGAGGCTTAAACAAGGAGACTCAATGCAGCATTGTTTGACCCATTAGACATATGTAGATGTTGTTGATTGATGGGCTGCAATGACAAAAACAATAGCCACCTTTGACCATCTCTTATATGGCTGACTTTGGGTGGGCGGGGTATCAATGGAATCGTGTGAGTTGTGTCGTATATTTTTATTTCGTGGCATTATTATTCGCATCAAATTTTTATTACAATTCACCTAAAAATATTTATTTAGTGTATTTTAAATATTAAATATTAATTTAAACTATTTATTATACATATTTTAATAATCGTATCAATTTTATAACTGTGCGCGTGGAATTCGTGTTAACAGGTTAGAGTAAACACCCCAGGTGGGGGTCGTGTGGGGAAGTTTGAGAGAGAGCGAGGTTCGTGACAGTGACTTAGATGGCGGGGGGACGGCATCAATGTCAATCTCAAGAACAAAATTTCCAAACAACACGCCTTTAACAAGAGAAAAAAAACAGATAAACCAACCAATTTGTGTCAGAAACATTCTGAGTACAAAACACAATTAACATTTTCCAGCAAAAAACAAAAATATATGAGTTTGACATCACAAACATTGAATTCTTGATGTTGGACAATATAACTACTAAGCCATTTTCAACACAAGGCCTATACAGTACGACTGTAGGTAACCTATAAATCTTGCATCTTAACTTTGGCACACAGGAGTTCTATCTCAATATGGTGGTGGAGGATAAGTTCCAGGGTATGGACCTGTTTGGAAAACAAAATATACTGTTAAGGATGAGACCATAGGTGGTGAAAAGAAGTATAGATCAAAAAGAAAAGCTACCTGGAGGATTATAGGGTGAGGCCTGTGGTGGAGGTGGATATGGTTGTGGAGGATATGCTGAAGGTGGTGGATAGGCTTGAGGATAAGCCGCTGGCTGAGAAGAATGGTATGGAGGTGGTGTATAAGCTGCTGAAGCCAGTGGGTATGAAGGATAAGGAGATGGTGCAGGGTAGGAAGTGGATGGCTGAAGATAATGACCTGATGCTGGAGGTGGTGCAGAGTAAAAAGAAGCTTGAGGTACAGCTGGAGCTACATATGGCGGAGCCGATGGAGCATAGTGTGTTGCCAACTTCTGCAACAAAACATTAATGCTCAGTTAGAAATGAAATTTCATCTCAAGTAACAACATAAGATCACATATCACAACTGTGATCACAAGTTCACTAATCACCACAAAAAACAGAGATACCTAATAAATCAAAGAGAGACACAAACAGAAACAGGGAACTTACATTGGCGTTTGCATAATGCATTATTAGCCGAACCTCTCCTGCATGCCTGTTTAGGACAAAAGAGTGAATTAAAAATTTGAAAGAAATAAGTCTTGACATAAAAGAGTATTTGACATAATCTTTGCGACTATCAATTTATACATTATTAATGCACACACTATATGCCACAAATCAGAACTAGATAAGAGTTTTATAATATCTCGTTTGGTATGCATACTTGGAAACCAACCATGGCCTGTTCGCTAAGTAAAATATATGATAAATTTGGATTCACCTAATTTTCTGTCAAAAATTGACCATAACAACTAGTGTATCTAAAAGCTGAGTACTCATTAACCAGAAGTTTAACAATTCCCTACTTATGTCCAAACTGGTACGGTTCGCTTGGAATCGGCAAAGTACAATGCATACGTTCTGGATGGACATCACAGGGCAGCAGTGCATTGTGAAACTCACTTCAGCTGATAATAATCCCTCAAAACTTATAGCTGCATGAAATGAAAATATGCAATCACTTCCAAAAAAGTTGGACAACGGATGCCTCAGTCCCTCCCCTATCCTTTCTTCCAAACCTCTCTTAACAATGATGTATGACACTTATTACCCACTTCCACAAAACAGGCAACTGGGATGGAGAAAACAAGAGAGGACTTCGCTACAATTATAATAAGCTAGAGTAATCTCCCTCCCGAATATAGCACATGGTTCTTCACTTCTTCTCCCCCACCCCCCTCCTCTTCCTTATTCTGACCTTTCCCCAAACAAAAGTACACGTTTTAATTTGTCTTCCCTTACATGGTGTCGTTGATCTGTCGAACAGCAGCAATAATTGACATGCAGTATATATATATACCACCATTACTGTTACTCTTTAGGGTATTATTCAGGCAATCCTCCCTGGAAATGAGATCCCAAAAGCTGGTCTCTCTCTGCAATGAGTCCCTCCCAATGCACAGAACAGTATGAGGGTCAGACAGATTAAATGCAATCACTTTGGTACATATGCATATATATATACTGCGTGTCAATTATTGCTGCTGTTCGACAGATCAATGACACCATGTAAGGGAAGGCAAATTAATACATAAAATTTTGTATGGGGAAAGGTCAGAATAAGGGAGAGGAGAGGGGGGGGGGAGGGGGAGCAGAAGTGAAGAACCATGTGCTATATTCCGTAAAAGTTATAAATCCATTTCAAACAAAAAAGCTTTATTGTCTTATTAAGACCACAAGATAAAAAAAGGGAAAGCAATATCACGGTTATAAATCAGGTAAAGCTTGTTTAAGATGGTAAGATGAAATCAGGAAATTAATATCACAGATATAAATCAGGCTAAGTTTGTAACATAAAGGTTTAAGTTGTGTCCACTCCTGTCTGCGAAAGCTCATGCTCAATTTACTTTAGTTTTGAGTTCTAAGCTCAAATAGTATAATAGTGCCATTCAAGAACCACATCAAATTCCATGGATTACATATTTGGAAATGCAATATATTACAAAGTCTCGACTTGGATATGCCACAATCAGACCAAATTTCATAGCTCACCAAAGTTTGGAAACGCCAAAACGCATAAAACAAAATCCTATCCAATAATGTGCTGCAAATGGGAAATCTATGAAGTATATTCATGCAGTACATTAATATGGAAATCATTTAGACTACATGTATAATAGCAAATCAACGACTTGAATCTCCAAAGGAAATGTCCTAAGTCCAAAAACTGAAGTTTTGTTGACAAAGCAAGCGCTTGCTACCAATCCTAATGGAGTTTGAGAAACTTCAACTTTCTAAAAGACCTTACAGAATAGGCCATTTCCCAGAACCAGAAATCTTTTCCACTAGTTTTTGGTGTCTAGTATGTGGTTTACCATCTAAACCACGCTATGTTGATTTGTGTTAAGTGAAGTGGAGGATCACTTCAACAGTCAGAAAGTCAGAATAACATAGATGCTTTACCACGATAAAATTAATGTAATTAAGCGCTTCATTAGGTTTACATTACAAAATCACAACACAAAATATCCTTTATAACTGACACCTATGGTTGTCTACTCTCTAATATGTCCCATTAGGCAACTTTCCGATGGCAACAAGAATTGGAATAAATAATTCACTGCTGTTGAAGTCAATAACCTTTCAAATACACATAAAATCTACATATGGGCAAGCATTCACATGCAAAGATACAGAAGATAATTGATGAATTGATAGGGGAAGGTTTTCAAATCTACCTTCCGGTTTTGGTCTGAAGAGGCCAAGAGCTGTCATCATATCCCTGAGAAAGGACTTTTTGCAATTGAACCCTAAGAATGGCCAAAATCCATCCAAAAAAGAGGTCAGTAAATTCCAAATCAAGACTAAATTTTTAAAAAAAAGGGTTAATGATTGAAAAACAACAGAAAATTAGGGGCAACAATTACTTTCCACTGCCGATGAAGTCGTCATAAGTGAGGGTATTGCTATTCCACACCACAAGATTCAACTCTCGTAGCCCTTCAATTAGTGTAAACACGAATTTCTCTTGAAACGTAGGATTTTTGCCTCCGTCTGCAAATACCCCAAAAAAAAAAAAAAATTTGAATTCATTTTCTTTTCTTATGAACTGGGAATACTGAATACATATTCAAAAACTATAATGTTATTTTGACCGACATAATCTATCCTGCATTTCAATCCAATTATGAATGATTAGGACAATAAATTAGCCAGTAAATTAGTTCCCAGCGCAACCAATTCAACAATTTCGAACACTGATTTCTATTTTACATAAGAAAAAGGTTATAGATGCAGATCTGAACATGGATGTGTTTAGAGAGAGAGAGAGGGTATATACAAACCTGTGCAGGTTCGGGTGCGGGACTTTGTGCTACCGTATTCGACACAGACATAGGGATCTTGCCTTGAAATCCATTCAGTATCCTTTAATTTATTACAACTAACAACTGAAAACCAAATCATTCAAACACTCAATTAAGGAAAAAAAAAAAAAAAGAACACGATTACACACAGATATTACATGCACAGCCGAAGAAGAAGAGGAAAATTGGTGTACCTGTAACTTCAAGCAATTGGCCTTGAATCCCAGAAATCGACATGGAAGGAAAACCGTACGATGGAGTTGTATATTGATACATTGACCCCCAAAAAAGACTACTTTTATAGGCGAGAGAGAGAGAGAGAGAGAGAGAGAGAGAGAGAAAAGTCAACGGAAGAAGTTTCAAATAGAGTACAAAAACAACTAGAATATTTTATTTATAGAGATTTGAATTTCGATTTTGAACACGATTTCGAATTTTGATTTTGATTGTGTCGTTGTCGACGAGGCCGAACAATTCAGCTCTGGGTTGTTGTTCTTCTCTAAGATTTGTGTTGTTCGTCTTTTTATACTATCATTATTTACGAACTGTTCTTCGCAGTTATGTCCCGGAAAGTGCTGGTGTGTATCCCCTACGCGGCGACGATAGCCCGTCTTTGTGGCGGTGCGCGTCGATTGTTAGTTCGGCGGCGTCCCATGGTTATAATTTACAGTATGTTGACATAATATTCACGGTAATATCACCTATTATTACTAACTAATTATAGTATAGAATTACAATCGACAGCTCCTTCCCAGCCAGGTACCAATCATCCTTGACCTATAAATAATAAACATTCAATTTAAAGTGAGGTTTTTTTTTTTTTTTATCTATATAATCCGAGTGGTTCTCTAATTCAATAAGAATGTGACAATACCTCTTTCTCTCTTAATTGACATGGTAGACCAATGATAAAAATGGAGGTGGCAGCATGCATAATCAGAGTTCGAAACATGGAAAGGACAAAATTCAATAATCTTTTTGTGAGTGGAGTCAAATGTTTTCGAACATCAACAAAATCACAAAAATTGCACATATCCCTCTATCATCCTTTTTATTATTATTATAGTCATATTATTTGAAAGTCCAGATAAAAAAAATTGGGGTAACAATAATTATGAATAGTTAAGGTGGTAAACTTATATTTTCCTAAAAAATTTAGATTAGTGATTATTTTTTAAAAAATTTAAATGAGTGGTAGTTAAGTAGTGGAGTAGTTATATGGCACGTGTTAAATACATGTGCGTGCAAGATCCTGCACAATATAAAAAACGAGAACAGATCTCTCCCTTGATGAACTCGAGTGAGCCTGTTGAGTGACCAACCACGCTGCTTGGAACAGCCTGCGAGGTCCGATGGTAACCTGGAACGGCAACGGGAGATCCTGAGGGAGCGGAAGAACGATCCAGTAAGGCTGAAAGAGGTTCCTGGAACGAAAAAGAACAAGTTAGAAGGGCGCCGGAGTGTTTTCCGGCGTATCCCCTCCGACGATCTAGTCAATCTTTGAGAAAGAGAGAAGAAGGAGAAAACACTGAGTGTGTGTTGTAGTAAAGAGTTTTTTGTTGCATACTCGTCTTGCTTTTTGCAAGGAGTATTTATACCTCAAAAGATCATGATTGCTGTCAGTGTAGTCAGTAGGTGATCATTAGGTACAGGCTGTGTGCGCACTGATTCTGATGAGGAATGTCTTCTCTTCTTAACTGCTTGGGGTCCCGAGCAATCAATGCTGGGTCATCGGGATGCCGATGGTACAATGTACTCTTCTCTGGGAGGATGCAATAAATGCTTTGTATTAGGAGCATTTAATGCCTTTCATTTTCGAGTCTTACCGCATTGAATGCGGTTTCATCAAGGGAATGGTGTAATTAATCGTTTGTTTTCCCAAGTTGCGTGTCAGCAATGGCATGCGGTTTCTTTGTCTTCGATGTGATATCATATGCCACGCGTCCATCTCCCATTGGCTGTGGACCCTGCATTCCAGTACGTTCTGACACTAATTGTGTAAGACGAGGTCATGATGATTAGCCTAGGCTAATGACCTGTACGTCAATAGCTTATCCTGGAGTAGAGGAGGCGTCCAGGACGGGGTACTCCTCGGCACCGAGGAAAGGCTCATCTCAGAACCGAGGGGGGATACCGACCGAGGTACCATATCAGACCGAGGCTACGTGTTGGTTGTAAAATGCACTGAATGCCATGATCCTATATGACGAGTACCTCGGGGGCGAGGACCTTTGTGCGCCGATGGTGCTTGATCTTAACAACAGTATTTTAGTAATACCGAGGACACGTATCTTCATCATGAAGCATTTCAGAAAAGTCCCATCAACTGCCCCCCAGCCTTCGATCTTCTGACACCGAGGGCACGCGTCGTAAGGAGACGAAGGGTTTCCCAACAACCACCAATGCTTCATCATTGTCTCGAGCCGCTTTCCCCGACTTGGGACGTCGTGTGCATTAAATGCGCCGTTTCGTTTTTTGCGCCCGATGATGAAACAGCCACTATATAAATGGGGCTCCTCTTCCATTTTCTTGTTTCGCCATTCCGAACCTCCTTAAGAGAGCCTTTTCCTGAATCTTCGCCGGAGATCTCTTTCCTCTTCCATCGTCAACTGCCCATTCTTCCTTAAAGTCCTAAGGCCAGCAGACCCATCGTTGCTTCTGAACTTTCTGGAAGGAGTCGCTTTAAAGTTTTTCAGAAAAAACTCCGTTTGACATTCGGGTGAGTTCTAGTATCTTTCTTCTTTTCTTCCTCCTATCCCTTTTTGTTTTCCGATGACTGGAGGTGTCTCCGGTTGATACTTAGCGACTAATCCTTGGGAAGCTTCCTCAGGGATTTTTAAGAAAAAACACCCTCCACTTTCTCACTTTCTTAGAGATGTCTCGTCGTCGCCCTGCTCCCGAGAATCCTCAGGCTGGTTCTTCGGGTCGGGGAAGTATAAGGTAAAGGGTGGTGAGCAGATTAATAGGTTTAAGGTCAAGTACGACATTCTCCCGTGCGTAGACATAGAGGATTATGACTCGGTGGTGCACCTTCCTACCCTCGGGGCCGAGGATGCTATGTCATTTTATACCAAGGCCATAATAGAGGGAGGAATTAGGTTTCCTTTACCCCCTTTACTTCTTCAGTTCCTCTCTCACTTCCGCCTCTTCCTAGGGCAGTGTTGCCTTAATGTCTTCAGAATCATTATGGGGGTCTTAGAGCTCAATAGGTGCCTCGGGATAAATATCGGGCTAAACGATCTCCTTTTTTGTTATGCCCTCTTGAGAGTCATGCCTCACCAACACTTCTACCTCAAAGCCAGGGACCCCTCCATGTACCTTGTAACTCATCTTCCCGACTCGGACAAGGGGTACAAGGATGATATTCTTATTTTCAAGGGATCTTGGCAGAGAGGTGTTGGTCCCGAGTATAACGGCTTGTTATGCCCTCTGGAATGGAGAACGACAAGTACGTTGGTTCCTTCAGGTTTATTATTTTGTTCTCCAGACTTCCAATGTTCATGACTACTTTTTTGTTTGTGCAGATATTACTGCTCAGGAAACAGCTCCTCCCCCTCGGTCACTGGTGAACTTTGCCGACCTAGTCACGGTTTGGAGATTTACTGGTGACAACGGGTTCGGCCGGGCTGCCCACATCCTGCTGAATTACACCCCCGGGTATAAGAAATTTTCACAGCTTCCTCAGCCTTTTGAGCCTTCGTGGTGGTCTGAACTCTTCGATCAGGCGGTGAGGCAGGAGGTCGAGGAAAACTTGGAGGAAGACCCTGATCGGGCTTCGGAGGCAGAGGTAGAGGGCGGTTGGCTCAGAGGAAAGCTGTCTGGCTCTCACCCAGGAGCTGGACAGGATCAGAGCCGAGGCACTGAACAGAAAGTCGGAGGAACAACTCCGGGAAGAGTTCGCCGATGACATGCTCCCTGTTCTTGAGGAAAACAGCAAGGAGTTCTTCAAGAAAGGGTGGGATGAGGCGCTCCAGTCTGCTGGAATCCCGTTAGACTCCCCGCTCTTCTAGATGCACAAGTACATACCCTCGGCAGAGATGGAACGGGCCGAAGCGGAGATTGCTGCCGAGGATGAGATCCCAACGCCGGTGCAAGTCTCGGCGGATCCGCCCGAGACAGTGATAGTGGACTTGTCCGAAGAGGCCCCGCCGGACCATGCCCCTGATCCTCATGTTGTCCAAGGTCTGTCCGTTGCCGAAGTATCTCTCCTTCTGCCTGCTCCAGAAGCTTCTCAACCTTTTTATGCTGACTCGCCCTCGGCTGATGTTGTGGAGATGCCCGGGGCCAAATGAAAGCCCTTTTTTTCTTTTTGATTATACTTTTTTTTTTCTTGTAGCCTTTGGGGACGCAAAGCCCCTCTTCTTGAAATAAATCATGAGTACTTTTTCCTTTTTTTGCGTACAGTAGTGTTTTGTTTTTTTTTTTTGTTTTTTTTTTCTTGAACTGTCTTCTGGGCTGCTCGCCCATTCAACAGGCATGCTCTTGTGTTTGCTTCGGGGACAAGAGTCCTTGAACTCTGTCCCCAGGGCCTTGCCCTTCTAGGAGGCTTGCTCCTGTATATGTTTCGGGGACAGGAGCCCTTGAACTCTGTCCCCAAGGCCTTGCCCTTCCAGGAGGCTTGCTCCTGTATATGTTTCGGGGACAGGAGCCCTTGAACTCTATCCCCAGGGTCTTGCCCTTCCAGGAGGCTTGCTCCTGTATTTGCTTCGGAGACAGGAGCCCTTGAACTCTGTCCCCAGGGTCTTGCCCTTCTAGGAGGCTTCCCTGTATATGCTTCAGGGACAGGAGCCCTTGAACTCTGTCCCCAGGGCCTTGCCCTTTCAGGAGGCTTGCTCTGTATTTGTTTCGGGACAGGAGCCCTTGAACTCTGTCCCCAGGGCCTTGCCCTTTATCTTTGTCGTTGGCAAGCACTTGAGGGAGAGAATACTTTAAAAGTAATATTTCTTTAGATCATAACATTCCATGGTCGCATTACAAGTTTTCCATCCATGCCCTCTAATCTGTACGACCCGGCGCCCCCGATTGATATCACTTTGTAAGGCCCTTCCCAGTTAGGTCCCATTTTCCCTCTGTTGGATCACGGGTATTGACGTTACCCTTCTGAGGACCAGATCGCCTATTCGGAATTCTCGCACCTTTGACCCTTCTGTTGTATAGTTGGGAAATCTTCTCCTAATACTTAGTTATCCTCAAGGCGGCTGCCTCCCTTCTTTCTTCCACTAGATCCCAAATCCAAATCCCCAGTTGACGGTCATTCCCTCCTTCGTCGAAAGCTTGGGTCCTTATGGTTGGGAGCCCTAC